GCAGCCTCCCTTCACTGAGCAGCCTCCCTTCACTGGGCAGCCTCCCTTCACTGAGCAGCCTCCCTTCACTGAGCAGCCTCCCTTGCCTCCTCCTATCTCCGGTCACTCAGAGGCACCATATTTTCTGGGGTTTTCCTAGGAAGACACTTGCAGGCCAGTTTAGCGGACTGCTGCCTGGTCTCCACTCAACAGGGCCTGGGGAGGCCACAGGTGAGTCATTCTGAGGTCCCATTGCAGGAGGGTGGCCAGCCCACAGAGTGACTTTTATGTCCTCGTTACTCAGAGAGAAAGGCCAGCCCTGTGATTTGGGAAGCCCCTCCTGCACACCCCCTCTCCTGCACACCCCTCTCCTGCACACCCCCCTGAAGCTACTAGGGCTACTGCTTGATGACTCAACTCAGTCCTGCAGGCCCTCAACCACCTCCCCCCAAAGCAGGGTGGGCCAAGGCTAAGGGGAAGCGATGGAGAGAGGAAGCAGCAGATTCTGTAAAGTGTGTGTGTGTGCATGCGCCTGTAAATTAGGAAGGTGAAGTATGTTTGCATGGCCACATATATGTAAGGATTTGTACATGAGCAATTTGTGTTCTGGTGGAGCCCAGGGATGGGCTGGGGGGTCTCTCAGGCACTGAAGGGCTGATAAGCTCAGCTTGCTTTCTTGCCTGCTCTGGCCTCCAGATGTTGGGGTCTTGCTTTTGCTGCACATAACCTTGACCCAGATCCGAAACCCAAGCTCTTCCTTGTTTTTTATACTCATTCTCCCTGAGCTCACACTAAGTAGAAAAAAATTTGCTGGGGATTTTAGGAGACGAGGGAAGATGGAAACGCAATGCAAGTGACTTCAATTGTTTGTGTCAAATATTTGGGTTTAGATATTCTCATCCTGTCCTGGCGTTTCCCTGGCTCCACGTGACACTCAGCTACTGCCTGCCCCTCCCGCCCCACTCTGCCTCCACCCTGTTCATACCTTCCATCTCCAATCCTCCCCCGACTCCTCCTGCTCCAGGAACTTCAGTGTCTCTTCCCTCCTAGGCCGATGACTCAGTACCTTTCAGCAACTGCTCTCAGACTCACTGCGGCTCTTAGCAGAACAAAGGATTATCTATTCAGCAGAGCCCACCTTCCTTAGAAAGCAGTTATACTTACATGTTTTTAAGAACTTTATTGCTAGGCATGGTGGCTTGCATCTGTAATCCTGGCTACCCCAGAGGCTGAGGTAGGAGGATTGCTTGAGGTCAGGGTTTCAAGACCAGCCTGGGCAACACAGCAAGACCTTGTCTCTTAAAAAAATTAGCCAGGCATGGTGGCATGCACCTGTGGTCCCAGCTACTTGGGAGGCTGAAGCAAGAGGATCTCTCTCTTTTTTTTTTTTTTTT